TTGCTTGCGGAACTTACTTTGGACGTTACTCTTGAACTTGCTCTGGGATTGAGCCTTCGAAACGATGTAATTTACGAAGAGAGATGCTCCCCGGCCGCGTTTTGACTAAGAGGCGAGAGACTTTACTCACTTACTCTTCTTACTCTTGGAATCACTTACTGGGTGGACTTGCTTACTTTTGGGCTAAGATTCTAACTTCGAGCTTGCTCTTGGGATGAGCGAGAAAAGGCGAGAGCTGTAATTGCCTAGAGAGACGTTTCCGGCCGGGAGCTGCAAACATGCTCCCCTGCCGCGTTCTGGTTAAAAGGCGAAATTGAACCGGGCGAGTGACTTAAGACTTTCAAGACCAGGCGGACAGCCGTGCTGGGCAGCAGTGCTCCTGTTTCTGTTTTCCAGAGTGAAAATAGCTTCGTCGTTATGAAAACCAGTTACCTGCGTGTGTGTTTCGCCAATAGTGCCAGGACAGGACGATGTCTTCTGAAACTTCCATTTGTGACCGTAAAAATCAGCCCCGCCGACGTCAACGCTTATTAGGATACGAGTCCTCCACTTCAAGACGTCCTTACAAGATAAGTTCTATTTTTTTGTGTTTGAACTTTAAGTAAGGTTTCAACGACTTCCTTGGAATGTAAAATAACAACGTCGAATCTTAAATTAATTCTCAGGCTTTCAATTGTTTCCCTTTCCCCTTCTAAATTACCGAGACAAACCTTAAGGTTTTTATATGAATTAGGATGTAATAATTTAAGTTGTTTGTGTAATCTTCCTTAGAACAGATGTGAATTGCAAATAATATGTTTTCCTTAACCTCTTAGAAATTATAGAACGGGTACCCGTTAAATTAAAAGAGTCATGTAATAGATTTGCAAATCATGAATTTAAATGTAACAAAAAGTAAATGACAAATTGAAGAATTCCCCTGTGTCTAAAATAAGTAAATTAAAAGGTAACACAAATAAAAAATTATGGATAAGATGATGAGGATAAGATTTAATTTTTATTGTGAGGAATTTGAATAAACTGATATTTAATCTGGAAACCTATTACTTATGTGTTCTTCTGTTATGTGTTATGTGTCTGTTATATCTGTTATATGTTTTCTTATATATTTATTGATTTTACATGTTGTTTATTCGATCCTCTCACGGCGCGGTCCCGGATGCATTTTCACCACGCAATGCATTAAAAATTCACTTATACGATCACTAAAAGGGTGGTAATTAGCAAACTCTTAAGAGTTCAGTGTCTCAGTTGATATTTAGTTAATTACGGTTTCACCTGTCTGTTTCTGCATTAGTTTCCTCCCTAAGAGGAAGTAGTAACACTGCATTGGTGCCCATGATTTTTAGGCAAAGTATGGTAACAAAACATAGGTTTCTCTCTCAGAAACAGAACATTAGTGTAGTAGCTTCATAACAGAAATATTCATTGTTGGATGTGCAATAACAGTGTGTGTAGTTTAGTGGCATTTACGAAACAATTACATCTTGGTTACTTTTCGATAAATTTCAACACTGATTTTGATTATGAATTTGTTTTATAAAATCTAAGCTACTGGACTACAAAAATATAGATTTTAGAAAAATTTTTATGTTATGGGTAAAGAATGAAAAATACCTTACGCTACTTTTAAAATGTCTAAATGTCCCAAAAATATAACACATTTTAAACCTTAATTTCCTTATAGCTAAGTGGTATAAGCGTGGAAATTTGTATACTTCTTTCGATGCCCTTGAGAGAGTATTCGCTACTTTTATTTTATGTTCCAGATATCAAAATGTTTTAAATAAAATGCATTTTTTGTCCTCCACATAATATTGTAGCATATACTTTTTTAAATTGTTAGAGGAAAGGCTTATAGTTGCTCATTTTAAACTCACCATTTCATTTTTATATCACTGAAAAATAATCACTTTGGGTTCACTAAAAATGAAATTACCACCAAATGCTGTAATCCTCGTAAAAATTAATAAATATATAGGCAGATACACTAATAAGTTAACTCCTTTTTCATTTGTAACCACACTATTTTGAGGTTGCTGGTTAGACTGTATACGAAAAACAACTTTACAACAACAACTACCAATTTTATTTTGTGGACTGTAATATTACTAAAATCTAAATCGAAAATGATAAATTCCCGACCATTAAAGGATCAAAACATGTGTGCTACGTTAGGAGTTCGAATCTTAACTAACTGAAATTGCGCAGAAACAATGCGCTGTACATAACTTTGAAGTTGCGCAGAAACAATGCGCTGTACATAACTTTGAAGTTTCGCAGAAACAATGCGCTGTACATAACTTTGAAGTTGCGCAGAAACAATGCGCTGTACATAACTTTTATTGCCTCGTAAGAGGCAACACACACATTTGGGTAAAATTATATACAGTTTTGCACAGATGTATGGAACAGAAGTCAGAAACATTTGCAAATTCGGCAGAAGTACCATGTGTAGTCAAGATGACGTGACCATGTGAACGTGTCACATCATCAAAACAACTTATTAGAATCTGAAAAATAGGGTGATCGATGGAGGTGAAAATATTTGTGTACTCTGCCAAAGAAGGTCCGATCGTGAATTGTCCTCTTATTGATTCCAGATTGTTAAATGTTTCCCATGAAAGGTTTTCTTCCCGGAAATTCGAGGATCATGCTCTTTTCTTAACCACTTAACTGTTTTGCCCGAAAACCGTTCGGGTGACGCGAAAAGGGACTTTTTTGATTTGCCCGTGTACCACTCGGGCAGTGTATTTTCCTACACCAATTCACTGATTGTTCTGGCCTTTTTCACATTTTTCACTTTGCATTGTTTCTGATAGATGTCTCTATTGGTCCAGGAGAGATTGTATTGTGAAATCAAAGAAAAATTTTCCCGCTTTTCATTAGGCGACGAAATTTAACGAGTTTGTTTGCACGTGTTCAGTATATTAGGCTTTGCGGATAGGTATTTCTTTCCAGTTTTGTCATGAAATGAAAGAACAATGGGCAACACTAAATGGCTTATAGCAAAATATAATTCTGATATTTTATCAGATAGCAAATCTAAATTTTCTATAAATGATTCTGGTAGTTATGTAAGTTCTTTATCGGAATTCTGTAGTGATAATGGGGAAACGGAAATTCAGATGGCATAATTCAAGTACGGAACTTTTGTGAAATGGATACTAGTAATCCCCCTCCACCACCGCCACGATTTCCTTTCACAACGAATTCACTTCTTTCACATTTACCTCCTGTAAAGTGTTCTTGCCAGTTCCGCAGTTTCGTCAGAAAAAAAGCCAAATTTAAATAAAAATGCTTTAATTTCGCCGTAATTAAAAATCATATTAAATTAATAAATGCAATACTTGTAACAGTTTTGCCTGCAGATTTGAATTCATATAATCGATTAGAATACAAAATTGTTTATACAAAATATACTTATTTTTGGTCACAATATGACAGGAAAATGAAACAGTTAAGTGGTTAACTTACGCAGGTCTTATTCATAGACAAAAAATGGTTAACTGGAGCATATTACATTACTTACATGTTACAATAAAACTATTTAAGCAAGAATTTTTCGTACTGAAAAGCAATCTGTTAAAAGGTGTTGTAAATCAAATTCTATGAGATGTGCTTTGGGAATATTGTACTTAAGGAAGTAGTAAAGAAGAATTTTAGAAGATGTATTTTTGAAATTAAGGTTAAAAAAATCTGAGAAATGTTAAAAGAATTATTATTAATTTATTATATTTTATAATACAGTTACACAAGTTTTAAATAATATTAAAAAATAGTCCTTTTTTATTCCCTTTCAGAAATATTCATAGAAAGTTAAATACATGGAAATCAGCAGCAATATTTAAAAAATTTCAGTATTAAAATAAAAGTTGCTTTAGCTTGAAATGAACCAAACAGAGTATTAATTATAAATTGACTCTAATATTTGATTTAAAATATGCCTCAAAATCTAAAAACACCATCTCATATTTCAGAAAGGAAAGGAAGGAGGAAGAAGGTCAAGAAGAGGCTCTGTAAATAGAAAAGAAGTAATGCATAATCCTTAACCGAATGAAATCGAAGTGCCTTAAATTTTTTTTCTAATGTAATTAATGAAAATTGTGAGAATATTTCATTCAAATTAAGCTGTTCGGAGTAAACTGTTCTGAGGAAAATGTAGCATTTAATTCCGTTTAGAATAAAATACTGTTTATAATTGTATTCTTTTCACATACTTGTAGAAAAAGAAAATATATACATTTTATAGGTATATTTATGACGTAATTACAAAATGTTTACATCTCATCATGTCGTAAACCATTGATCCCCTTAACGGCAAGTCACTGAATGTTTTGGTCTCTACGATGGGATCGCCACTGCTTCAAAGCAGTGCATGGGGAAAAATAGTTAGAGCCTCTCCTCTTACCTCCATGCACGCTACTGTGATTTCCATTGAACATTCAGTGAACAATGGCAATTTTTTGCAGTAATTTAACATATTATATAAATGCAGTCTTTAGATACTTCGAACAGCAAAGTAAATAATATAGCAATATAATAATCTACATATACGTTTCCTTTTCCTGCGGGAAATTAAAGCAATAAATAGAATCACGTAATATAACTAATCGAGATACAAAACGTTTAAGTGTATTTTTTAGATAGGAAATGAATTTTGGCTATTAAGAAAAATAAATCAGATAATATGCATCATACAAAACCTGCCTTTAGGTATACATAAAAAATGTAAAGTAAAATTAAATTTATATTTTCATATTTATACTCGAAATATGATGCAAGAAGTCAAGAAACAGAGTACATGTTGTATATAAGGGATTCTGTTATGCACAGAAAAGTCACAATGTAGACTTGCGTTAATTTGAGTTGTTATAACAGAAAAATAAATAAAACGTGCTTCAGCAAGAAAGAGATAAAATTCTAAATAGATACAGTATTTATGACATGTAAATATTGAACAACACTAAATTTCGGTTTACATGAAAAATCGTATTCACCTGGAGGACTAGAAGTATGCTGGCAACGGCAAGTGAATCGCAGTTTGCAGCTCTGTTTCTTGTGCTCGATTAGTTTGTGGATTCCTGGGAAGACTTCCTTACAATTTCCACAAATAAGAATATCTGGCTCTCCTGCAAAGAAGAAAGAAACCTTCAGAGATTAGTGAGAATGAAAAATGTATAATAATAATTTAATCCCCGAAGGTTAATAAAGCGAATGATATACGAGCACTATACATCATTATAAGTTTTGTCGGATACTATATCATCTATCATTAACTCACCTTCACTGATCGATGAAAGCAACCGATGACATATTTTGAGCATGGATACGAGTTTTGTTGGCAGGAGAGTTAGATCGAATTTTAATTTTCTTAGTTATAAACTAAATACCAGTCAGTATTTCATAGATAGCATCTCTTTCAAAGCAGATCATCAAAATACAAGCTGTCGCGAACGACGCACGCTCCGCTCTTGGGAAACGGATTGAGCCTACAGACCGACGAGATTCGAAAAAGAAAGTTTGTTTTTTGAGAACTGGCAACGATGAGTGCATACTTTTAGAACAGTGACGCAGTAGAATAATGACGCTTTTAGATATGAATAAGAAATGATGCTAAGTAGTTAGAAGTGTATTTGATGTTGTAATGATTTCGAAATTGTTTCGCTTTTGTGTGAAATGTCAAATAAAGTGATTCATACAAAATAGTGCCAATTTTAGATGAGTTTGAAACCAAATCGGAGTCTACAAAAGCGGCGGACCAGAATCGAAGAATGCGGATCATAAAGGTAAGCAACCTTTCTTCATTTGCTTATCTAGAATTTTGAATGATCTGTTTTATACTGAATTGAAATGATACAAGCAGCTGCTTTGGAGTAGTCCGAGTTTTATGACCGATTAACATGGGTAAAATAATTTCTATATAACTATTTATTCTCTTAATTGTAACATGAGAATTCTTTTCAAATCCTGATAATTAGTGTTTTAGCATAACGTCATTCGGATCAAACCTGTTTGCGTGCTTTAATTAATAGCTGAAAACTATTTAGCAATTTTAACGAACTTTTTTCTGAAGTTCGAGAAACTCTTGCATATTCATTTATAGAGCATTTTCACCTCTCCGTCAAACTTATAATTGGTAGCTATCTAAGTTTTGGTTTTTCATTTCGAATTTCTGTGCCAAGTTAAAGCATTGACATAGTAGGGCTATGGTACATTTATTATGCGTCCTGTTAAGCTGATGGGAATAAGCATAATTAAATAGATTTGAGCCAGAAAACTTAAATGGATGAACGCAATGTTTGATGTTCTGTTTTAAGTTCAAGTTTTTACAGTTGCATGCTGATGAGCACTTGCATTTTCTCTGGTAACAAGATAGTCATCAAGATGATTCTTCATTCATTTCCACTCGTAAAGTAGTGTAGTGAAGTATTTGTAGTTCATGAATCTGTTCAAGGAATCCGAATATTGTTTGTAATTTTCCCGTTTCTTGGCTTTAGAAACTCATATCATAGTAGTTGTCCAGTTTGTTAGTTGTCCTATTGTAGTCCAGTTTAGCCTTAAAAATTAGCTGAGCTTTTTGGTTTGCTTTATTTGATTACGGCAGGACACACTAGGGCTATCAGGTTATAAGGAAAGATACCTTCCTGGAGGATATTCCAAAAGAAACGGGCTTGTATCCACGTTACAGATGAGGGAAAACCATAAAAACGCCCATGTCCCTAGCCCGTTCACTAAGAATCGAACCCAGGGCGAACTGCTAACTTTAGCGACGACTTTGTGTGTTATTATGTATATAACCTTAGTACTATTCAGTGTAAGCACGTAACGTACTGTGTTATCAGGTTTAGAAATGGCCATCACAGAGGATTTAAAATTGAGAGGATAGAAAAACCTATAGAAACTGTGATAACTGCCCGGACAGGTAACTGACAGCAGTACACATTTTTGATTGTCCGGTCGTCTTTGCTGAATTTTAAAAAACTGGAGTCTTCTTTACAAGACAGAATCTCTACGATGATAACATTTTGCAGATTGCCAGGGCTGTCACCTTCGCCCATAGCATTATTTGTATAGGCTTCATCACAGACAACAACAACAATTACCTTGTAGAGTCTCACCTTCTTTGGTAGCCTAAACTGGTGAACTCTAGGAAGACTGCAGAGGAATAATCCTCTTGTCTTAAACTGCAAAGAAACAAAGTCAGAAGAAGATTGTAAATAACCCTTTTATTCGAACGCAATATTAACAATGACCCAACGTGGATTTACACAAGCCAAGCACGTCTGGCTCAACAGAAATAGGTAATGTTTAACTAATTCAAATGTGGTAGATTAGCCTACCGGCTCACAGAATAATTTAACGCGCAGGAAAGGCTCTGCTTTGCAGACATCAGCGAGATAAGCCGAATAGCTAGAAGCACTCAACGTCACAGAATCAAATCGCTAATAAATTACAGCGCAACGTGGCCTGAACTAGGAAGACACGCTCTAAAAGTAACTTGCGTAATCTTCACTTAAATACTTCACTTATTTCTCCCTAAATCTGATTAAATGCTCGCTATCTCATTTACATTCTGGCATGAAAAGCATGGGTGAAAAAAGAGTGATAGGAAAAAAATCATTAAACTTAAAATTAACTGTTAGTTAAAAATAAATGGATAAACCTCTCACCCTGATTTAAGACAATGTTATATATCACAGGATTTTCGCTGAAAGTCAGGTTTAAGTTCCTCGCACTATCCCTTATTTTGCATCTCCTTAACTAGATACAAAGATGTAGTTATCAAACTAACTATCATTAATTCAACAATTCTGTATATTTATTACAAAATACTATACAATAAAGAAGAGCATTGGGAAAATTTAATTTATCTTTTTTATTGTTGTGAGAAAATGAAAGAAATATATAGAATGATCCAAAGTTAATAGAAAAGTTAAAAATTTCATAATTCGAAGAGTTACAAACTAGACTAGGATAAAAGTTTTACAGAAATACAACAAAATCTTTGTATTGTTTATAAAAAGGACAAATTTTATTTTCAAAAGAGTATTGTATTATTTTCAAAAAGGACAAGTTTTACTGTCAAAAGTGTGCCGTGTTCAGTAGGACCAATAAAGCAGAGGTCGGCCGGCTTTATTGGCCCTACTGAACGGTATCACGTGACAGGAATAACAGCTGAATCTTCTTAGATGTTGTACAGTGTGTGAGTCATGTCATATCTAACAACTATCCTCGTAAATTGTGGCCGACACACTGAACATTTGTAAACCCAGCTGCTTTGCAAACTGCGCTGCACCACTGTGTGAACTTTCTACACAACTGAAGTAAAACCTGTCGATAAGATACGTTATTATTCTGGGCAAGCAAACAAACTTTTGGTAAATAGACAGTGTTCAGCGAGGAGGTCGGCGGGCTAGCTTGGCTTTTGTCTTCTTGGAATTATTATTATTGTTTTTCTTAATCTTTACATGACACTTAGTGTTAAGTAATCCATGTTTCATACATATTGTTGTGTGTACTAGATGGCTTATTTCTTATAACTGATAGATATTTAAATTGACGCCACAGTAACCAACCTACGCAGCCCTTATGATCTGAATTCAATTGAAAGAAGACTGGTTTTGCGCATTTTTTTTTTGTCGTGACTTCCCCCCCCCAATAATGTGGTACATGAACTGAATTCCAGTTTCAAAGCAATTCCCAAAAATACTACTTACACATAACTGTTTGTAATTAGAAACTGGTTATTTGTAACTACATAAATACCAAGAATAGTATCTCATTTTTGGTCCTGAACTTCAACATATAGGCATATTAAAGTCACACACATTTTCCATGCAAAGTGTTTTAAACTTTTAAAGAAATGTCTAAGAGCTTCGCAATTAGTTTAGGTTAAAAGATTTATAATGTAAGCGAGGAACAAAACTGTCCTTATCCTTCCCTAATTAATATTTCACTAAAATCACTTACTTTATTCTATTTTTGTACAGTTTCCTTAATATTTATTTTTAACTTTACTTCCGTTGGGAAATCTGATGAAGACTACTGTGGAAAAGTGCTCTCATTCGTGATAAAAATATGTTACTGGATGTATCCACACTTTGAACAGGAAAACTTTTGAACGGAATTTCAAAAACTTCTTAGAATTAATTTGCCGTGCTCTATAATTTTGGTCAGAAAATTCTGTGGTAAATTTGTTCTATGGCATGAGAGAGAGAAAGAAATAATAATAATAAAAAAAAAATGAAAGACTTCTGAGACATGGGAGGACAATAGTTTTCAGTGGTTGCAAGATAAGCCTTCTCTGCGGAAGACCTTTCTCCAAGGTGGTGAAGCGAGATAAGTGTCTGCAGGCTGCTAACGAGGTCCATTGTTCTGCTCCAATTGTGCGGGGCGCCTTATTAGAGCAAACGACTAAGTTATCGACTGATTTTGGAAGTACCGCACTCGAACAGCACCCTCAAGAACATCTCCCGCACATTCGAGATTCCTTCAGCGGATGACAGTCATTATGAGAATTTTTGATCTTTTTATGTTCGTTTCAATTTGTGTTTATACAAATGTGCTGAAAATAGATCGGTATTATAACAGTATCACAATAGATATTTCTAGCTAAATTGCGGTGTTGGGCACGCTCACACATTTAATAATTACATAAAGGAGATGAAATATGGAAATTCATGAACACTAATGGCGTATCTTTCTGATTCACCAAATTCTGTTGTTCTTTTCCAATATAACTAAGCGAAATGTCTATTTGCCAGAAATTAAAAGTAAAGGTGGATAGAAATGATTTCATGTTTTTATTCACTTGATAACTTGGTAGACTGAACCACTATTCATTTGACGACTAACATACAGTAAGACAGATCGAACATATTTTCGAAATGGTCTTGTTTTAGAACCTAAAAGGTGCGACAGTTTGAAGTCAAGGATTCTCAAAGTTTTTCGGAATACTATATATATAATAGCCAGTTTTTGAAGTCGTAAATTATTCTAAAATTCTTTTCTTTGCTTTCTGAAGACATAGGTACTCTACACACGAGAAGAAAAATGATAGAAATGTTTTAAGATTTTAGGAAATCTGAAAGTTGAATAAATTCTTATACCCGACATCTAACAGATGAGC